GTTAAAAGTTCACAGTGATGACGACTGTGCGCTATAAAGAAGAAACATATATTTGGCCAAACAAAATAGGTTTGATGCAAACAAGACTGTCCTTTCTTCGAGAGATTAAGTGAATCATTCGAGAAGAAATGCCTTGGCCTGAATATCAATGTCCAAATTTTGGGTTTGGGTATCATAAACGTTGTCAACATCATTTTTCTTTCAAAAGACGATTACGATGAATTCTGTCAACATTCTCTTGACAAATATGTGAAAGGAGAAAGAAAGAAAAAAGTTCATCTTTCATTTTCTGGTGAAGAACGAAGATAAAATATGACATCGGAATGGAAGAAATCTTCTTTTTTTGATATTGGATTTGGAAAATCGGTTTTTCTTTGATGAGTCGCAAAAATATTGGTGAAAAGTCCGAAAACATCTGACATAATATATTGAAGAGTCCAAAAGTATTAAAAAAAAATCAATATTTAATTGGAGTGTCTAAAAAATTTATAGTTTTTAATCAGCTTTATAATTTTTTTTAATACTCTTAGTCCTGGGTATGACGATAAACTACACTCGGCAGCAAGGCCTCTGATCGGAAGATTGGAGGATTTGAAGAGCGTATAACCACCCCTTAATTAATGTTATTCCCAGGTCCACCCTGACACGGGGTGGCATCATTTGTTAGCATTCCAGCTATGGGCAAATAGTAAACCCCCAAACACTATGAAAGTATATAACATTATTATATGCCCTAAAATTATTAACTATACATATTTATACTAAAATTAGCAACAATGCATTTTTCAAGCAGAATTACTAACAATAAATTACATAACAAAATGACCAACAATCTGTAGTTGAAGCCATAAAAATATGATCAAAATATTTAGATTTCGGCATTATCCTTTTAATATCCTAAAATTTCTTAAAGAATTCAAACTGTATTGCAAAATATAACTTCAACAAAACTACAACTTAAAACACGGATATCACCACCTCTAGTAATTATGTCCATGTATATGCACAAAAGCTGAGTATCATCTACCATGCAGTCAACTACAAAAGCAGAATAACCTATAATATTTTTATTACTTCAAAGCTCCCAAGAAAATTAAATTTCGGCATTAAATGACCCATAAGGTGTTGATATGCCGTTAAACAAATCAATCAATCAATTTAATACTATCTATATAGAATCTTTTAATGATTCTCTCTCTTCTAAAATCTTTTGATTGTTGGTAATCGGGTTTTTCTTGAGTTTGTGTTTGAAAGAAACTCTCACATACTTTTGGGATTTATTTCACGCCATCACCTGTGGAACGTTTAAACAGATTTTGAGAATTCGATATTGTTTAATTTCAATGCGAACATCTTGAACGGCTTTTGAGATCTGGTTTAAAAATCATGCTTCGAAATTTCCAGAATCTTTCAACCGCCAGTATAGCATCTAAAGCAAAACGTATTATTGAATTGTACTGAAAATGACATTTTAAAATACGAAGGTCGCTCCGAAAATAAAGCCTCCTATTCATTTCTATTGGTCAATAAAGACAGACGTGGATGCTAGTGGTGTGGAAGTAAAGATTGAAATTGTTCAAATCGAATTTGTTTGCTTTGTTACAAATATATATATATATGAAGAGACGTGTATGTATAAATACTGTCATATCTATCTATCTATCTATCTATCTATCTATCTATCTATCTATCTATCTATCTATTTCAGCCTGTTTACATCTGTATATATATGTTCATTTCAGTTTGCTCATATTTGGATTAGTCATTATTTATTTATCTATCTATCTATCTATCTATCTATCTATCTATCTATCTATCTATCTATGTTTATTATCGCAGATTAACTCTCCCGGTTCATATATTTTAATAAGTTCATTTGAATCTTCCTGTCAGGCGAAGGTGTTTCCTGTGATCATCCTTTGTCATATAAACGACATTTTCTCGCAACCCACTCGAAAGATAATTGCCTACGCCATGCTTTGGCAATACAATGAAGATCCTTCAGAGACGTCAGGTACAAAGGTGCAGATAGAGTTGTTCTGTGGAAATGAAACAGAGTTTTACCATCATATCTACCTTAAAGGCTTTCTTGCAATTTCAGATAAAAACATTTCATATTATTTTCAAATGAAGTTGTCTCTCCTGATAATTTTTAAGCATTCTTCAATTTCGCATTGTAGATCAGAAATGTAAGGTCTCATTAGATAATAGGAGACCTCCACAGGCAGAGATAAATTAACTCGCTCAGTGTTATATACAGAGCTGAGTGATCAGTGGCCATATATATATATATATTTTGTATTTTTATCTCGTTTGTACTAAGAATAAAGTAATTGAGAATTACTATTACAATTGCTGTTGTGGTTATTTTACATGCGTGAAAACAAATAATCAATCTTTAACGTTATCTTTGGTCCTTTGTGCATTGTGAATAATTATTTTAATGATTTTGTTGTTTCTACATCCTAAACATTCGACGGCCATTTTTTAATATGAAGGATTGAAGAAAAAATGACTCAAATTACAACAGAATAGAAAAGAAATTAAGTCAATTTATTTTTTAATTTTGAAAATCTAAAGAAAAGTTGTGTATCATTCAAAATATTAATGCGAAATCATCTCGACGTCATGTTAAATTTATTTATTTATACTTTTTTTTTTTAATCATTTCACCCCAAGTAATGCAATAAACATACTAAGACGCAGTGGATTACTGAGTGTGGGGTAATATGAAGAAAGAAAACATTATTAAAGAGAGAGATAAAAGGAATTAAGAAAACAAAAGGTAACGATTAACATTACATTTAAATTTTTGAAGATCACAGTTGACATGAAATCAAGAGGCCGGAACAGAGTTCCATAAGCAAGAAGTGCGAAACTGTTAGCATAGAAAATACGGTTACTTTTAACCATTTCAACTGTAAAATGATGAGACCTACTAGCCAATCTAGTATTGTAGTTCAATTTTTGAAGTATAGATACCAAAAGGAAAGCCCATCAAAACCATGTAAAGTATAAAATAATAGACTTTTTTGGTATATACTTTTTTTTAATTGTTGAATCTTTTAAATACTGAAAATCATTAAAATTACTTTTATATTTGTTTTAAAATTTCTTCTAACAGCAAACAATATTGCTTATTAAATTATCTTCTCTGAAGTGATTTATCCTTTTTTTTTACTTTTGGAATATTTAAATAAATAATTTACTATTTTCTCATCAAATAGAACGTACCTGTCGAGGTGGTCTATTTGTGGCACAAGGCGATATTCATTGAGCACCCATTAGGTAATAATTTACATATGAGACTAACACTCTAGTCACTTATTCTACAAATGCTCATTGGTCAAATATCTTTTGTTGTTTGATGACTATTCGTCTTTGCAGACGATTCGTTCGTAGTAATTGTAAATAATTATTCAATTAAAAAATGATCAACTGAAAACGAAATTTGTGTATCGGAAACGATTTCAGGCGGTTTATTTTGTGTGGAATGTTTTGTTGGAGGAAATCAAACAGCGAGTAGTTCTTGCGACCAGAAAAAAACATAAAATGAACTTCCAAAGTTGGAAAATGAAGAGATCGAGTTAAATCCTCAGACATATCATTGGTTTCGATCAATAAAGGATTTAGTAAGTTATCTTTTTGAAAGATTCAATGAAAACGAAGGCAGGATTTGGAGGGAGAGGAAAAGAAACGAGAGTTTACAGACAAAATGAAATCAGTACAAATCTGAAAGAAGAAGAAGAGGAGGAAGGAAAGATGAAAGGAATAAACGAATAAAGATGCAAAGAAGGAAGAAACAGATGGAAAGAAAAAAACAACGCGAAAAACAAAAATCTGAAGAAAGAAAGAAAGAAAGAAGGGAAAGAAGGATAAAGGAAAAGGAAAGAATGAAAGGAAGGAAAGAAAGAAGGGAGGAAAAATAGAAAGAAAGATGAAGAAAAAAGAAGGAGAAGGTAAGATGGAAAACGAATAAAAGACGAAGTCAAGAAGAAAGAAAGATAAAAGTAATTAAGAAAAGAAGAAATGAAAGTCGAAGAAGTAGATGAAAAGAAAAAAAGAAGGAAATGTAAAAATGAAAAGAAAGAGCGAAAGGAATGAAAATGTGGATGTAAGAAAAAGGAAGATTGAAAGCAAAAGACAGGAATAAAAGATGAGAAAGAAAAAGTAAGAAAGAAAGAAAGAAAGACGAGTGGAAAGAAAGATAAAAAAGATTAAAGAAAGACGGAAGGATGAAAGACAAAAAAAAAGAAAGAAAAAAAAGACAAAGGCAAAGTTACAAAATCAGAATAAAGAAAGAAAGTAAAGAAAAGAAAAGAAAAGAAAAGAAAAGAAAAAAAACAACAAGGAAAGAAATAAAGAAGGAAAGAAGGTATGGAAGAAAGAAGAAAAAAATAAAATCATGTAAAAAATCCATAAAATATTGAACGAGAGGATTTTATTTGAAGAACTGAATTCGTTCATGTCATTTCGATTGAATTAAAGAAATCTGCTGACACGAATGAAAGCGAAAAAATGCAAAAAAAAAAAAAAAAAAAAAAGAAGCAGACGGAAATACTTTCCCCAAACTGACATCAGAGAATTTACAAACATTTTCAGACACTTTTATCGACGCCGAACGAACATTTTTTGTAGATGTGAATGTCGCCAAGTCGAAGATATTAGCACAAACACCATCCGGTAATTTTTTCAAACATTTTGTCATTAAGATTCACGGACAATCATTTGAACAAGTTGCAAGTTTCCCCCGTCGACGAAGCATTTTGAACACTTATGCCAATGTTGACGGCAACATTTCGAAACAACTGAATGTTTCTTACAGCGAATTTAAAGAATAAACTCCAAAGAAAAGTCTTTCATAAATGCGGCTTGTCGTTAAAAAACAAAAAATAAAAAATTATGATATATCAAGTAGAGTAATTGTCAGCACACATTGTTCTATGAATGGAAATACAGATTCCGTTTGGTCCTACCATCAAGAACCTAGAAATATTTTATCAATCAAACTTGTCATCAATCTGAGGCATCAGGAAGGAAAAGCAATCACCAACAAATTCCTCAAGATACCAATTCCGTGAAAGAGAACGTTTTCGACAAATGGTGAATAAAGGCACCCCAGAGCAAATTCTGGTGGTCAAAGAAAAAGATACTAGGTTCAACTAAAGAGGACAACACAGGAATCTAAAATTTAATCGTTCAGCTTGATAGCCAATGTGAATAAGAATTTGTTATCATGGAAGGAAAAAAATGATGCGATAAAAAGAAGACAGGATGCAAGAAACCAAAAGGAAAACATACAACCAGTACCTGATTAAATGATTCAACAATCAAAAGATCTGTCTATATTTCTAAGATGAGATATTGTAACTATTAACACTATTTACATTGTTCGGACGATTGTTCTTATCTTTATTGTCATATTCACGACGTTCCGGTCGATGTACACTCCGACCTTCGAACCAAGCATTTTATTTCGTCCACCCTTCATTTCGTAGATTGTTCTAGTTCTACGTGCCATGTCTCTTCTGGATATCTCAGTTTCAGTTATTTCCCTTTAATAACTCTACTCTCCTGCTGTGGCCAGGGATTGAACTCACAGCTCTTTGGATGAAGTCACCGCGCACTTCGACCAACAAGAACACATGGATAAAAGCGTTGGTTGAAGTAATCCAGTGTCTTGAACTAAAGAGTTGTGAGTTCAATACCTGGCCACAGCAGAAGTGAACAACACACACACACACACACACACACACACACACACACACACACACACACACACAGAGACCTGTATTAAAACAAAAATAAAATGTGGCGTCTATTTCAAATACGAGTATCCAATATAATAACGTTTGAAGTAATGAAAATGTTGGATTAAAAATAAATCCATCAATTATTCAGAATTTTTTTTGTTTAAGTGTAATACAAAAAGTGTGCTTTTCTCCGTAGCCGAGCGAAAAAGCCCATTTGATAAAACGGTGATTTTTCTTATAAATTTGGACGAAGGTTCGATCCTTGACGGAAGGTACATTTTCTTTATTAAAATTTCTCGAAGGCATAGGCCACTAGACACAATATCTACAGTTTAAAAATAAAAAAATGAGCGTCTATTTTAAGTACGAGTATCCCCTATAATAACGTTTGCGTGTATATATAGATAGATTAAATTAATGTTCACACAATTCACATCTTTTTATAATTCAGATAACACTAGACTTAAGGATAAAACATAAAACGCTAAATACTTTTATATTTTCACTGAATCTCGTGACAGATTATATATATATATATATATATATATATATATATATATATATATATATGTTATAGGAAAGCAGTTTAAAAGAAAAAAAATAATGTTATTCGCATTCTTTTGCAGCTGGGTGATACTTTCAAAGCGACTCGAAATAATTCTTTGTACTTGCCATCTGTTATTCCCACCGCAGATAGATAAATTGATAGATAGATAGATATATAGAGAGATAGAAACAGAGAGATAGAGACAAAGAGATAGAGACAAAGAGATAGAGACAGAGAGGGCGGGGGGAGAGAAGGGACAGGAAGAAAGGAAGAAAGAAAGGTTATTGTATACTTTAGAACTCTAATCAGAGCCTGAAGAATTAAATGAAACTCGAAGAAGGGCTGTTAGAACTCACCGAAATTCTATCGATGATTCAACAATATTTGCCTGTATTTCGAGTTCGCCAACAATCAAGATTTCGCCGGCACGATTTGACAGAAGTTTCCCCTCTTATTCCGCCTCGCTTTTCAGGCGATTATTTCTTGTTTATTTAACTCACACGAATTTAAACGTCAGCTGTGCACCGATAAGCGTATTTTAACGAAGTTATTCGTTTTCAATTTCTTTTGGTGGTAACGAATCTCCAAAGTAAAAGGTTTGCACAAACAATATTTATTGAACATACCTAAGTATGACACAAGGACAAATGGTGAGATTGGGCTAGGGAGATTGTGTAACCTCAAATATTCAAGTGCAGAAAACCTACCATCTTAAAATAATCAACTGAAATACTGTTTTTCATCCTACGGCAGTATCGCGTCCAAGTGCCTGTTTTAGTACGATCACTGAAGTTAAGCAACGTTGAACCCGATCAGTAGCTAAATGGGTGACCGCTTTAGAATACCAGTTACTGCATGCTTGGATGTACGGTTGAAAGTAAAGGCTTGGAATTGGAGGACGGAGTTCCAATTCCAGTCGGGTTCGTTATATTCCGTTACGAGCAAATATCCTTCGGAAAGATATGAATCATTTCTTATGTCCCCAGCTATGGGTTAATTAGTAGGATGTGTATCAATAATTCATTATTACACCCCCACAAATTGTTACAATGTAAACCTATTTCCTGGCTTTAAATAACCTGTGATAAGCCGTCAAAAAACAAATCAATCGATCAATCTTGTTTCTCACAGCATTTTGATCACTGACCTTTGGCCTAACTAGAAATAAGCAATTGTTTCGACTATGAGACAGGGAACCAATGGTTTTTAATTCAATATTATGTCAGGAGGGAAGTCATGTCTTTTTAGTCCTGAGATTAAAACATTTTTTTATGGTTCAATGATTTTTTTTCAAGCTCTTATATGTTTGTTGCTTCAGCAACCGTGGAAAGACGGAAAGTATAAAGGCTTAAAAGGAGACGCGATATTTATCCGAATAAGCCATCGAATAAAGAATTATTAATTATGATTTCTTTTAAAATTTTACCAATTTGAATGTAAAAGATGATGTATAAAATATCATCCCTATTTTAAATTAAAATTTGATAAAATGATGATGTTGATGATGATATATGATTGGTGTCGGCAAGATACGCCATGTTGGCCAAATCCAAGCAGCATTGATAATTTATTCAACCCATAGATCACAAGGAATAGACTATAACATTATTTTTTAGTATAAGTTTAAAAAAATGAATTTTGTTTATTCATTTTTGAGGTCTTTCTTTCAGATCTACAATTAGAAATCTGAAGGCCAATTCCTTGCGAATAGAAAAATACAAAGAGAGAAAATTTAATGACTTTTGAAAAATATATCCCAGATGGAGGATTTTCTGCTTTAAAATCTTTTGCCTAATAATTTCAGACATTTTCAAAAGATGAAAATTGTTAACGCTGTGCATAAGTCAGTCTTAACTAATTAAATTTTACCTTTACTTTTGATGACATGAAGCATAAATTTGAAATCACAGTCTTCATCTTTAATTATACCATTAAAATAATTATAGTTTGGATATTCATAATGGGGAATTGTTGAATAGGGGAATGAATTTATTTATTGCTGGTGTTTTATAAGACTTGGCGCTGATGGGTTTGTGAGACAGGGCCTATGAGGGATAGTAAAAAAGAAATATTGCTAAGAAAGCCACAGAGGATAAGAAATTGTGGAGAGCCGTAATCGCCTACGTTCATAAAGGACATGATACAAAAAAAGAACCTTAGTGCTTTTTAAACTGTACATACATAAATAAGATTAATGCGAGAAGAAAATTTAAAAAATGAAGCATTTTAAATTTGTGCATCGGTCAGTTATGTGCTATACGTTAGGCGATCATGTATCTTTCGATATATGACTGATGTGGCGGGCTTTTTCCCGCAGTAGGTTTGCATTTCTTTCGGCGGTAGACTAGTTGCTATCCAAGGCTATAGAACCCGTTCTGTCCTGCTATTTACACATAGCTGGAAGGGAGATGAAGAGGATTCATACCTTTCCCAATGGTATTAGAACGTAAGTGAATGTAATGAATTCGACTGGAATTCGAAACCGGCTCTCTGATTCCTCAATCCGAGCCTCTATCCATTACTCAACCGTGCCTCGAAATTTGTGTATACGTCGGTTAACTGATCAACGTTTACAGTGAATTTGGATGATAGAGAATACAAATATTGAGTTAAGTTTTATCCCAGAAAAGAATCTTGATTCTTCATCTTTAATTATACCGCTAAAAGAATTCTGTTAAAGTTTGGATATTCATAATTGTAAATTGTTGTATAGTAAAATGGAAGGCGTGGTCTAGGAAGTGTTTTGACGGGGACGATAAGTGTGACGCTGATATCCGAAGACGTATTGGGATGGCCAAGAATGCATTCCAAAAGCTGGAAAGAGTATTGCAAGACAGGAGGATTTCTCTGGTAACAATGAAAAGTGTACTAAGCTTCTACATGACATCTGTCCTTCTTTACGGCAGCGAATGTTGACGATGTCCTCAAAAGATGAAGAAGAGACTCGAGGCAACAGAGGTATGGTTCTACAGAAGGATGCTAAGGATATCATGGACCGAGCGTGTGAGAAACGATGAGGTTTTCAAGAGGATGCAAACAAGGAGGAAGCTTATACTTATCATCAGGAAAAAGCAGCTGAAATTTCTGGGACACCTAACGAGAAAGGAGGGCTTGGAGAAGCTGATACTCGCAGGTCGAATAGAAGGAAAGAAAGACAGGGAAAAACAGCGCATGACATACCTGGCGGGCTTAAACAAGTGGATGACTGAACGTTGTCAGGGGGAGGTGGCAGACGGACGAAACTTATTGAGCGCTACAAGGGATAGGGAGGGAGTGGAGAGCCATGATCGCCTACGTCCTAAAGGAAAACGGTACATAAAAAGGAAAAAAAAAGAAGCTGTTGTATTTTGCGAGTTGTAACATATGTAAATAACGTAAGAAAATCTTTTCAAAGATGACACATTTTAAATCTGTCAGGCGAAACTGATCAATGCTTACAATCAATTTCGATGATGTAAATCAGAGACTTTGAACCGTCTGATTCTATATTGTTTTGGAAAAATGGATTTCAGCATTTTCATCGCTTCTTCATCTTTAACGCTCCCACTAAAAGAATTATATTAAAGTTCATATTTATTCACAATGGAAGTTGTTATTTAATATAATTTAAGATAAATGATTAAAAATATAGGCTTTTCTTATTTTTATATATAATTTTTTCTTCAATTTTGTCGCGGCCTTTAAATTTAAATAACTGCCAATCCCATTTTCAAAAACGTTTGCGGATCTCTGATATATAAGCATGATATATAATTATGTGCCTGGTAGAATGTTCATTTCGCTCTCCTTTGATTTTTATTTTTCCCCCTATTTTTTCCCCTCTCCGTAAGAGGGATTCTAACATACGCAGCGAGATATTGCTATTTGAAGAATTCTTTAAAATATTATAAGTTTATATTAGAAAAGTAAGTTAAGAATATCCGATTAAATCTTTCATACGTGGAATAATTGTTTATTCACTTCTAGACTTCGTCAAATTAACGTTGGCCGAATCGAAGGTACGTAGTTTCGGAAACTTCGAATGTTTGATCTTCTTCACGCGAGGATATGAGAGACTTTACCTCCCTTCTCGTTGGTCGGGCTTTTATAGAACTTCCTATCATCTTGTGTATATCTTAAGTTCAGCTGGATTGACTTTATGTTTATTTTGGCGCAGCCACCGACATCCATTGAGACTCGATTCCACACGTGGAAGCTATGAGTTACCATTTTAAGTCATTCCTATGATACATCTTGCTCTTTTGACGCACTGAGGTGACATCGAGAACAAAGCTTATTGTAGTATCTCTGAAAATGAATCTAGTACGTACTTAGGACACCACAGATCAACTCCTTTTAGATCAAAGATTCCTGGTGGATATTAAATTCGATTCAGACCTCTGGCATTTTCTGGCGTGAATCACATATGACACTATTTCATTTGGCATGATTTAGCCAAATAATCCTTAGCTTATTTGACATCCTTTCTAAATATCCGAAGTCGTACCCGAACATGGTAAAATGCTTTCTGAGATGCCATGTGAGGTTAGTAGAAAACTCTAAAGTTTTAATCTTGTCAGGATAGAGTTACCCTTCGCGTTTTCTGGAAATTTAACTGATGCGCAATAACACGTGACTAATGGATATTTACACTGCTTCGTTTCGTAAAGCACGCCGTCTAAAGGAGGTGGGGGGGAAGAGAGAAAGTATTAGAAAGCAGGAAAAAATATTTATTTGAAAACTATGTAGGACAGAAGAAATCTCCACCATTTTCCTTTTGTGAAATATCTGTAAATTGTGAAGTTGTTTTCACTTTGCTACGGTTCTGAATTCAAATTAGGATTTTGTTTTTGTTCCAGACTGATTGTCCTATTATAACTAAAGAGTTTAGTCTGCCCTACTATTTTACTGATAGCTGCTGGTAGATTCGCTATTTCTAAAGGGATTAGCGTGAAGTGAATTGAACTTACTTGGCCGAAATTTGAACAAATTTGGAGTTTGAACTTATTTGGAATTTGAACTCGGCCCTTTGATTCCATTTCTGCATCGATAACCGTAACACCACCGCACACCCAGGGAAGGATAACCGTGCTTGAACATTCGAACTCGCTCTTTTTCTTTCCTTGACTTCATAATGACCATTGGCGCACACGACAGGACTCAACCACGAGCCAGCATTACCTACTGTTGTTTAGTTTGACACAAGGCGACAATTATGTGACATTTAGTAAGAATCGAACTCACCTCTCAGTAACAATAGTCAGTATAGCGTGCTAACCGTTACTACATTCCTAAACTTACGTTTTTAAAACTTCATATTTTCCTTATATCAA